CTATATTTGAGATCTGAGAATATATATCGCAGAGTGCCCTGTTTTTGAACATCCATATTGATTGTGATTTGTGGTGTTATAACGAGGGGTGTGACACCATAAAGCTGCCAATTTGTCAATATTAGGTTCATGTGAAGCAGCATACACCAATCAGAACCATCTGTTGTCATTCAGAATTCTGGTGCCCGTGTCATGATGAAAAGGAAGAGTAAAATAGTGTGAACATTTCTGTATCCCCATAGGACATGTTTTCGAGCCCCTAAACAATATGTGACCATGCACTTAATGTTGAAGTCAAGGTAGACACTTGTTCGCCACTTGTCGCAGAAGTTATGTTATGAATTTAGCTAGAGGAAGTAAGATATTCAATACATAATGAAAACGTGCCTCAAAACTTACTTTATTCACTAAGGCACATTTTAAATTTAATCAAACTTGATCTAGTGATAATTTTGCATCAGGATAATTGTATGCACGGATGATGTATCGGCTGCTATTTGTAAACTTCCTGTTTGTTATGTCATGTGACTTATCATGTTGTGCCGTTAATTTTAACTTGACTGTAATGAATGGGTTCAAAATCATGTGACAATAATAAGATGGCGCCTGATTTGCTCATCTTGCTTGGCCAGGCATTATCACTATGAAATTAACAAGATATGGCCATTTGACCATCCAAGAGTGGACAGTATAAAATGTTCTCGAAGGGAAGACTTAATTTTAGTGTATTTGGATTGTTGTTACACAAGTAATACTTCTCAGGGAATCGAAAGCCCTAATCATGAGGATATATATGAACATATGTCACAATGTGCTAAACTGCAAAATATTCTTATTTTGTGAATAGGTTTCTACTTTCAATTACTTTTGGAGTTTTGATGCCAAACTGCAAGAATCATGTTGAGAGCTGTGCACCATACACGGCTGTTCAATAATGGAAACCCCTTTAAAATACCAACCAATCAGGTGTTCGAATCTATGTGACGTCACAAGAGTGCGGCAGAAGTTTACAGACAAGGAAATGGGGGTTACACCTTTTATCAAGGACTCATTTCCTATCATTATATACACAGCTAAATTCTACTATTTAAGACATTACCTACCGGTATCAACACTATTTTACATTTTCATTTTGATCCAGAACAATCCTTACTTCCTAGAACTGAGGCAATATAGACTTGCCAAGTCATTCTACACTTTAGTTGGTTAATTTATTCTCTGAGGTCTGGGAGACAGACTACCCCTATGCGTCATGATGTCGATACACATCCATGACATTGTTACACATGGCTGTCATAGCAGTATTTCAATACTTCTCATTATCATCACTTCCTTTCATTTAGATTCAAGTGGACACCCAGCAGAACGTGCCTCCCTCTTCAATCTACTGCTGAATCACATTCCTTCCCAAGGCAATACAACATTACACTCTCCATAGACACATGAGAGATAAAGCCAATAGTCTGATGGGCCAGCGGATCGTAACACTAAATCACTCCAGTAGTGTCCAATACCCACAGCTCCAACATACAGAGCCAATAAACATTAAATATTCATTACATACAAATGCCAAAACAAATAAATATCCCCAGAATACACAGTGGTATTTGTAATGGATGCACAGACTCTATGAAAACACCGGGACATTGACACAGTCTAAAAGGAGTTATAATATATAAGCAGTTATCCTGGACTCGAGTGCTTGTGTATCACAGTGTCGGACATCCCAGAGGGCTAAGTATTGATTGTCATCAGTGATCTCAGATCGTGCAGATTCCATACTGTCCTTAAACCACCAGAAGAAATCACAGACATCATTGGAGATCATGTACACAATTTCACAAAAAATCAGAGAAAAAATACATGTAAAAGTTAGTAGGTGAAGCACATTGATGCTCCTCCTCACTACATAGTCAGCTATATTACAGCTGTAGCTACTGCCATCACAGATTACCTATAGCAACCATGGTAACATGAAAAATTGGGTGTTCATTATATACATCCCTTCATCATGGTCAACAAGCAATGAAGGTGAAGGTGAAATGGGGTTTGACGTCGCGTCCAAGATTATTGCACTAACATAGCGACGTGCATGCATGCATGTGTGGCTGCTTGTACTTGTCCGGACTTATGCGCAGTTTATAGTGCTAGCCCACTGAGATACCATGCCGCAGTTTAACATGAATACCCAACTCAGACACAGTATACTGACACCGAGCCAAGCAGTCCTTGATTTAGGCCCTTAATACCGAGCACCAGACAGGGTAACAACAGGTACTATCGTTTAACGTCTTTTGGTATGACACCGCCAGGAGTCAAACACCGAACTTTCGCTCTACCACTGGACCACGGAGGCGGTTCAACAAGCAATGACTAACACTAGTCAACACTCCTTGGAAAATTATATGTACAATTCTTGCAACTATGTCCATCATTTAAACACTTATCATACCTCCTTGTCAGAATGAAGAGCTCTGACTGGTTCTTCATAAAATACATCAATCCTACCGTGGATGGAAATAAATTTCTCAGCAGGAGAAAAAATCCCATACATCCCGCCACGAACAAGATAGGCTGCACATGGATTCCTGTATGTTCCTGTAGGGGAGAATAAATCCCTAATACCCCACTTCAACAAATGTTCAAAGCAAAAAGCCACACGCTTTTTCCGAGTCAGTGAAAGTCACATGACATAGCACAAGTTAACTTCAGCTCAATCGAACAGATGTTTTCTACCAATTTAGAATTTGTTTTAATTCTTTTACAGTGTCATCTGTATCACGAGGTACATGTGGTTTTATGCCTACTGCACATACGGGTTGTGGTATCAAACCCCACGTGGAACACATACAACCACATGTATCCCAAGTGACACTGCTACAACTCATAATATGAACCATGTTAACATTCATATGGACACCAGGCCTGATGAAAGGATCAACATGATCCCTGTATCAAAGTCTGTCAACACTTCAGTGACAACGTCCAGCTCCAGGTCATGTCTGACATTGTACAACCAACACAGCTGAGCATCAGGAGTACCAAATGATAAGGAATGTTGTAACAAGTTAACAACCTCCAGTCAATTTAGCTTGTTCAGCAATGTCTACAACAGTTCATACACTATAAGATAGTACCGGTATAACGACAGCATCGTTATTAACACTGACCAAACTTAGGCACATACATCAAGTTATAATTATATGCATAATATAACTGACACTATTCTCAACTTTCTTTGAGGCTTTTATGAATCTATTTTGTATTATTACTTCTGTTACACGTTTAACAAGGTCACGGTTAGTTATTTCAAGATATATTCCATCTGACATGATACAATAGCATGATCAGTTTCTACCAAAAACTGTTAACTCGCCCTAGGAAAGCAGCAGAAACTAACAGTTTTAGTCCACTAGTCCTTATAATGATAACATAAAGCAAAACCCTTAAAAATGGCAAATTTCTACTAGTCCTTATGATACCTTAACTATTGGGCAGTTTGGCAAGGACTACAGGACGAGTGCCAATTTCTTTGTGATCAGTTTCAGTAGATTTTACTCTGAACAGGAACATATTTATTACCTGAGCTAACTCTCATGAAATTAATGTTAATGGTCTCAGGATTCAGACTTTAGACCAGTGTTACAAGCCGTACATTTTAAGTTGCGGAGCAGTTAATGGATATCAAATGTTTCATCTGCTGTCTAAGGAATTTGACAAAATTAATAGGTTAGAGAAATTCCACATGACACTCTTGTTTTCCGAGCTATTTCCTGCTGCAGGTAATTGCAAAAACATGATGATAAGACATTCCCAGAGATTACAGAAAACAAAGCGTGAAGGTAACTACAACATGTACAGGTAATTCATTTATTTGGCATTATAAAATAACTGATTTAAATACTCGAATTACATAAGTTTGCAAACATGGCATACTGTTCACGAAATGATACATATGTTGGACAATGGTGAAGATGCAATAGTAAGTGTTGCAAAGATTTGTAGACTTATTTTGAGTTTTCAACATTTGTTCAACAAACCAGTACAAAACATAAACTACAGAACCATAACCATGATGACTAATCATTAATTTTAAAACAGCATTATCATGATCATGATGATTATAGCCCTGCATTGAATAGTTAAGTTTGTCATATTTTTAACAGAAGAATGTTCTAGTCTTAGCAGCTCTGTCGGTTATACCATGCTTATGCAATGTGGACAAGAAGGCAATTCCACTGTCACTTATCAACAAGATTAATGACAGGAGAAATGAATTTATCATTGACCACTTCCCATATATCTTATGGTCAAGTTATTTGGTTGTATCAACATGATCAACATGTTCACAATTTGATTGACATGATTCAACCATTCTTTTCACTTTTAGCATGTTACGAATTGGTAAAATGGTTCAGAGAAATAAATACAAAGGCAAACTTACTCATGTTTAATTTATATCAAGCATTATCTAGGCCTAAATAATGATAACGTGACTGATAATTCTCTTTCCTTTTAAACATGAAAGTGAACATACTTCATGTACTCGTGATCAATGAATCATGGTATTGACATGTTGAGAAATCTGATAATGTATTTTATTCAAATTATATAAAATTAAGAAAGTTAGACATATCAGACATAAACTAGGGTATGCTAAATCGTTTTAGAGAAATCTAAGGACCATGAATCATATTATCCTTACATCATGTACATGTTCGAAAATAAACATCTAAAATACACAAGCTATTCATGAAATGATGGCACTTCGAACAGAACTTGACCGAATCTGTTACATAAACTGGTCACTTACTTAAACGAATTATTTGTATATTTCAAAACTAATCGTCGATTACGGTCACATCGACGGTAATACGCCGTATGGACGACAACATCGGTCTGTGAATCGCAAAATGACAACCCGGTTTCTGATTCGGAAACCTGGCTGGCGACACACCAATCATATGACAACAGATTCAAAACAAAAACGATAATCATACCGAAGAGCCTTCTTTGTAGCTTCTCTTCGACCACAGTATATTTCCAACAACTCTTTTTCTTTTCTTTCCCAACATTACGACGGCATTTTTCACTAAAATATTATCAAGTCATTATCTCTGCGATTCGTGCCATATAATTTGGCCTTGACCTTCGCCTATCGCCACTTCATCCCCGCACAGAATGAGGTTAATTTGCTAAAGTAAATAAAACTGCGATGCCATTACCAAACTTTGACATGGAAATAAATATATTCGTTATTTAAACACTTCACAGATTATATTTAAACAGCCCGAAAATTAACAGAAGAGACTATAATATTGTCGATTATACAGTCCGATATTGAGTGGTTTATCGAGGCTAGCAGGTGCGAGCCTTACGCTAAATTTATTTAGGGACTGTGTCAAAGTAATAGACACATTTTATCACTTGAGATAATGATAGGTCGTTAATTGAATCACGTATTGGTTAAACACTGACAGTTATCTTTAGATCCAATATGTTTGGTATTTCTCCTCAATAAACGTATTTTATAGCCCGAAATAGCATTTGTGTATTGTTTATATATTTTAGCCTTTATTGTTTTGACACAAACCCAAGTCGCCGTAAAAGGCGATTGTGATTGGTTGTGTAGAAATTTGAGATTGAATTGACAAGCAATGAACAAAATTGTATGGTCTAGATAAAGGACCTAACGATTTAAACAAGAGATATTTTAACCCTGGCATATACATTCAAGGAGATAAGGAGATATTCGCATTCTATATAACCAGATTCCGAATGTTATCAAACATCACCTATCAATATGCCCATGCAAGTTTTATTCCAAGTACAGAAAAAAAGTCTTTTCCATATCACACTTCAATTCAGCATGTTATAGCCGTGTCAATTCTGATGTCACACTGTTGGTTTTCCTCTCTTTTGACGAAAGCCCGCTTAACCGTATTTTAAGGTTTTGAGAGATCCGCGATTATTATATTTACATTGACATGTTCAAAAGGATTGGATAAAAGTGAATCACTTACGGACTCCTCTCCATACTTACAGTTATACACGTGTGGTTAAAAGGTAACCTACATTGCATGTTAATAACGTATGTTACACAAGTAAAGGGTGTAATTCTACACGAAATATTGATGTGTATTACCTTATTACTTCGAGAAAACATTGTGGTTTCTATATATACTAGAATGGTTAAACATGAATGTCTCGATAGCAGGTTTGTCAAAGAAAAACAGCAGAGATCTACCCAATTATAGAATACCTTCACACAAAATTACTAAGACACAATCCCCATAAAGTTCGGATCGTAATGATTAAAACCCGGTACATCTGCAATGGAACCAAACACACTAAATCACGCCGATGTAACCATTACAGTGCAAACTTTATTGGGATCGCGTATGATTTAATTTGTGTGTCTATTCCTATTTTAAGTGTATATATATATTATATAGTTTTGGTAGCTCTCTGTTGATTTTCTTTGCTCGGTCTGGATATCCTCGGTTCGGTAATTCATTCATTGAGATGATTTCCATTGCGAAATAATAATGTCTGTATGATTGGACGAGACAGGTGACAACACGTCTTGTATACAGAGTTCGATATCACGAGTTATGAGTAACACGGCCCGAGTTGTGTCTCGACAACGCAGGTTGCGAGGCGCCGTCGCTTTGTTGTTGTGTTGTGGGTAACACTGTTTCAGCGTCTTGCTCCATATATCGGCATACTATGATGTATTGTTATGCTGTGTTTCCTTTTATCACATTTAATCTCAAAATCCCTTGTGGTCAGAAGATTGCTACAATGCGCTTCAAAACATTACGTTGACAGGCATGTCATCCCATCTGTTACACAGGCAGACCGATTGTCTGTAAACGTCTCAGCTTTATGAACACTCATACACGTTTTATAAATATAAAATTTGCACATCACAGAGCGCTCCTTGTGGAAATAGGACAAACTAGTTTTATATTTAAGACGTCGGGCCCTAAAAAAATAGTAAACATATTTACCCAACGTTTAACTGTGGTGTAACATTAACCTGCACGCTTGGGTACTTTGTTCATACACATGTATGGCTGGATAACTGATAACCTTACTAAATACATAAACACAAGTGAAAAACGCCCCGCGATATCGAACAGTCAATAGAAGTTTCCTTCAGTCATAATAAGGAGGTAATGGATTTTGTTGATATTGGAGATTTTACGAACGCTTCCAAGACAGATCATCTTCATCTTTGCAACGTCTTAGTCCAGCTTGGGTGATGAGATACTATTGCAATATTATTCTTGAGGCCACATGTTGTTGTTTAAAAAAACCCAACTTTTTCATGACTTTTAATGGGAACTATACAGAACAAACCAATTTTTAAAGAACAAAATGACAATTTAATGAAGTGCAACGATGCATTTGTTACAGTCAATGTCTATGTATATCGACTCATTCACTCTGACAATGTACATATTGACTGAAATATTCAGTCAATGTACATATTGCCTGCAAAATGAGACTGGGTTTTAGACATTTTGACTGAAATGAATTGTACTCCTTAAATTAATCTCCTCGTTTTGTTTTGGATCTATTTCGATGTTACGAAGATCAAAGGAACTTCTGTAAGTAATTTTAAAAATCAACAAAGAACTGATTGTTTCTTCAAATATGAAAATATACGAGTTTTGTTTTCTGTTACTTACTTTTATTCCTTTACTCTTCATCTGACATTAAATGCAAAGAAATTTGTTCAGTTCTACTACCTCGCGAGTGATATTAGCGTATTCCTTCTCCTACTCTGAGTTGATCTCAACACAATATCGAATGGTGGGTTTAAACCAACGCGAGAGTATAAATCCCGCATATACACTATCCTTATCTTCTACTGCTCATAACACCAAACTGTTGTTCATGACCACTTGCGTCTGTTGAAAGTATTCAGTTGATCATCATGTATTTGTTATATTGTATTTTGTATATTACCGTCATGAATATAACTTGTACTTGTTGACCAATCCAGATTCATTGGATAAAAATATGTTTAAAACATATTAGCATATTTAGTCAATCCTTTCAACATGTCACGACCACCAGGACCGGTTGAAATGAGACCGCTCTTAATGATGTCAAACATTGCGTCGATATGTATAAAGTATATTGGTTCTTGAGCAGTGTCATTGAATTTTACGAACAAACTCATATTGTTTCTAATATATATCAGTAAACTGCATACTTTGAGATCCAAATTAAAATAAGATTAGATTAAGGAGTCTAATTAATTCAGTCAATCTGTCTAATATCCAGTTTCATTTTTCAGTAAATATGTGTATTGACTGAAAATGTCAGTTAACATGTACATTGCCTGTGAATTGGTTAATATACATATTAGGGATGAGATCTTTATCATGAGGAACACGTTTATACTTACTCCCTCATCAGCTGAAATACATATTGCCTGATTATAGACATTGACTTAACATATAACCATGGAAACGTGTTTACAGAGAGATGGAGATTTGTTTTCAGGGATTGACCAAACAGCTTCATCTTTGGACAAAGACAACAATGCAGTTTTTGGATGCTGTGGGTGCTATAACATTTGAAAGATGTATATCGCTTAAATAATGTTGATGACAAAATTGACATGTGCTATGTGCAAAATGATGTAAAAGTGGTAATCTTCTGTTGTTTTTATCTAAATAGATATTTGTGTCTTATTTCTATGTATTCTAATCATTTAATAAGTTACGGATTCTACTGATCTTTTGAAAAAAGGTTTAGAATAGGGTTTTTTCTGTGTCAATAAAAGCAAGTTTCTTCTCTGTTGTTGTTGTCAGCTTCACTTATACCTTGCCAGGCAAGTCAAGGTAGAGGTACATGCATCCTCACCCTATATTGCTTAAAGGCTTAAAGGTGTAACAATTAATAAAGGGGGGGGGGGGGGGGGGGGGAGATACCGATGATGCTTGAGATGTTTATTACAGTGAACATTGCCAGTGTATTCAACGCAGGAAGTGAGCCAGGCAGTGGCATTATGCAAGTGTGCATTTTGGTGATGAATGGTGGCCACTGGTCGCATTTCTGTTCCAGGTTTGATTGATCATGATGAAACTCTCATAATTCCGAGGGTGGTGTAAAATAGCACGCATATATTAACACACAGTGGGAAACAAAATATTTTTTACAGATCACCAGTTAGAGGAGAAAGAATAGTCAACATTATTAATATTGTCTGTACAAGTATTATTTATCACTTCTTACTTCTTTAATTCATACGTGGAGTACATGTAGTTCTATACTGGGCAATAGTTTCTGTGTAACTTACACAATTACATACAAAAATATATGCACCTTTTCACTCTTGCCATGTCTTTGTTGTTTTACCTAACCTACAAAATAACTTTTCAACAGAAAGGAAGAACATTTCTTACCCTTTTGGGTCATCACCTGGACAAACTGAAAAATTGTAAAATTGTGTAAGTTACAGTGTCCACGAAACCTGTCAACCCTTTTTTTCTCCTGTGGTATGTCACAAGTTATGTTACATATAAATTATAATGAGAAGGTTGTCTCTTCATGAAATAGCAAATATATGCTCATTAGTTAAATTATTAGTGAATAAAACTACATGTGGACACCATGGAACGTACGCAAATCGGGGCGGTGTGTTAGCCTAGTGGTTAAAGCGTTGGCTCGTCACGCCGAAGACCCGGGTTCAATTCCCACATGGGTACAATGTGTGAAGCCCATTTCCTGGCGTCTCCGCCGTGATATAGCTGGAATACTGTTAAAAGCGGCGTAAAACCATACTCACTCTCACAAATCAATTACGTGTGGTGTAAGAAAAGAAATAGCTTAAACCAATCATACACAAGTATTAAAGTCAACATGTTTTCTTAGCTATTCGGCCAGCACTCTGAAGTATCAAATTGTAGACACCAAACACTTGACTGCCACAGTAGAGTCCAATCCTACCATGAATTATTCAGTATCACCCACGAGGCATTAAGAAGGTTAAACTAATCAACAAGAGTGGAATACAAGTTCCCAGGTCTAGTATACTGTTCATCTGAGGGACTATGCAAAAACAGATTCGAATCAACACAATTTTCCAATACTTAAAATAATTTATTCAACAACAGACTTACACTACATAACATGTATAAGACAAGATTTGACTGAGTATATATCACTTAACAGTATACAAATTCCAGAATTTGCTATAAATGTCTTTAACATAGTATACTGCACAACTTTTGGTGGGGATATTCTGGGTAATGCCAGGGGGGAGTTAAAAGTGACTGATTACTTCGAGATGTCATTCAAATAGTATTTAATATTTCCATGGATTGAGCCGACACATTTTCAGCTTCATTTCAAGTTATTATAACAATAATAATAAGACATGTCCATAAACTATCCACTGAGTATTCCTATCAAAAGTTGAGCTTTCACTTATTTCTCATTCATTTATGCAATAGAACTAAAACAGGACAGTTATAAGCATAGATGAAAGCCTGTCTGAAGCAAAGATACCCGGTGACATCAATAGTATTTCCATCGAAAACCTGAGTACATTGTGTCAACAATATATCACCCATGTAGCTCAGCGACACTGTTCTGCTACCTACAACTTGATATTTGCATGTGTTACGGTACCATGAAATCATACACTCTTCAGACTGATACATATACCATAGTCAACTACCCCAAATATGTCCTTTGGCATTATTTTCAGATGTTTGTGTTATCAGTTGAGCACAGACAGATGGAAATTTGACAGACTTGTTATTCTGACAAGTGGCTGAAGTAGCAGACTGGTCCACAGTTAGTGTTTGTTGTTTTACACGACAGTCAACACTATTCCAGCTGTATCACTGCAGCCTTAAACAGGACAAACCAGTGGTTGATGATATGAGCAACACCCCATGCCATCAGGGTACAGTGACACACAATCAATAATCACTGATTTGTCTAAGCAGGAGCTGGAGTGGATTATCTGCTGGCTGCTGCCACACCACTGCTGAAAAATTGCTGACTGCAGCATGAGACAAGAAGATTAAAAGTTGTTATGTCTGCACAATCTCATTAACATAAGATCTTTTACTCCAATACAATACCTCTCTGTGTGAAAGTCTGAGGACACCCCAATAGGACGTTGTGTCAGGTGACTTTCTAATCACTCCTATCAGCGTCAAGTCATGGTACAAGTGAGCGACGCATTCAGAGAAGCACATCTGATTTTGTTTACCTTGAAAATGAATATAATCAAGGAAATGTGAAAGCAAAAAAATAAGCCTCACTATCACTGTTTTATGGATAATTTATACATCTTAGTAAAATCTTAATATATTTTTTACATTTCTTCCTTACTCCTTAATGCATTTACTGTCTTCTTTTGACAGAAAAACAAAGCTGTGTGAGGTGCAGCTGCAGAAGAAGTTGTTCCAACCAGTTGTAAGGCAGACCCCATTGCACAGCGCCCACGGAAGTGATGACGTCTTGTATCTTCACATTACTGCTTGAAGATAACATCTGAAGACATCGTGGGGAGACAGCTCTGCAACGGGAGGGCCCCTCAGACGTGGTAATGCAGGTAAGCATATAAATGTAAAAAATATTTAGATTTTACTAAATTTTTAAATTTATCCTGCATTACTTCTTGAAGCATCTGAATCAAACAGTATGAAGGTGGGCATACATTCAGATGTGGTCCTCAGAAAAAAACCTCTAGAATGTCTTAGCAGCTGTCCTGCCCATCACCTGCGAAGATCTGCAATCACTCGGCCAATCCTGTCCGCAGAAAGAATGAAAGATTGAGGACGTCCGGGTAAAATGCAGCAATCGAAAATATCATGTGCTAGAGACTATAAACACTGACTTACCAAGCCAATACTGCCAGCATATAGACCCAGCGTTGGGTATGCGAACACTGCAAGAGTCAGGAAAGGCCAGCTCCAGACAGTTGGAAATTGGTGTTAGTGGCGTCTGATATGATGAATTTGAAAAAGCAACTGCTGTGGAGAGCCATTGTAAAGGTGACTGCCCAGATCTCATAAGGTTTGTAGGCTCTGGGAGGATCAAGGCCAGTGGCCTCATGTGCCTGAAGGATGAGGCAAATAACCATAGGGATAATGTATTGCGGCTGACTTCAGTCATGGATGTCTTGGAGACGGAAAAGAGAAGTCGTTTCTGGGCACAGATGGAGATCCTCCCTACAATCGAGGAGAGAGGTGGGATGTTGAAGCACCTGTCAAGCTGTCCTGGATGTTGATTCTTGGCAATGAAGTCCCAGCACAACCCAAGGTGAACAGCTCCCTGCGCCCAACCTTGACACAGGTAATGTAGCTCGCTGACCCTTGCCACCATAGCTAAAGCCAAAGCCAAGAGGAAAATTATCTTCTGGTGAGGTTATAGAAGGAAGCTGCGTGGAGAGGCTCGAACGGAAGTCCACACCGAAACCGAAGTACCACGTTTAGATCCCATGCGGAAAGAGCACAGGTACAACAGGTATTTGGCCAAGAACTGAGGGGACACTGTTGTGGGGGCCCGGAGGCGTAGGAGTAGGTGCTGACGCTGACATCAAAGGTGGCATTGTCATGGAGCCTTGGATGGCTTAGATAGCGGCACGGTGCTTGGCACCTGGGTACGTGGAGGCGACAGCAGAATCTCCGGCATTAAGTTGGGCAAGGGTAATACAGTTCTCAGAGGTGTAGTCTGCGCCCATCCCGATGTATACGGCAGGGACGTAACATCAGGCCGGTGTCTCCTGTAAAACAGATTCCTGAGAGTCCAACATCCTCCTTGTGTGAAGTAGGGTCTGCTGTGCTGTGTGACTTCTTACCATGACAAAGGACACAACGGGCAAGCATGAATCTGCAATTTAAGCAGAAGTTTTACAGAGGTTAAAGGTTTAAAATTAAAGTCACAAAATGTTATAGCAAAAATACATGGTAGAACATGAACACCAACCGAATGAAGGACATAATTCACAAATATGTCATGAACAAAGGACAAGCAAACAGGATGAACTAAGATCAGCTGCACATATTTATTGTACACAACTTGTCAGGATGGTGACAAGCAGTAATGTGAAGAAATGTGACGTCATCACTTCCAAGGTCATGTTGGCTCTATGTGAGAGGGTCTGCCTCAAAACTGGTTGGAACAACTTCTGCTGGACCTCACACAACTTCGTTTTTCTGTCAAAAGAAAGCAGTAAATGCATAAAGGAGTAAATCAGGATAAGTTCAAAATATGACATTTAGAAAAGGGTGTACTACCCAGGGTATATTTGTGTTCTGTGGTGGTTTTCTTTAGCCGAGATCAAAAATTTTACGAGTAAAGAAATGAAACTGAGTGGCTTCAGACAGCTGACATTTGATTGTCTCAAATGAGTGAGTGAGTGAGTGAGTGAGTGAATTGGGCTTAACACTGCTTTTTACAGTATTACAGTTATATCGTGGCATGTCAGCTTAATGTGGGAGGAAAGCCCGAAGTGATGCAGGTCTCAGACCTGCTATGAACGAGTTGTCAGATTGTCACGCAGAGAGGTATCGTATCAGAGTAAAAGGGGGTGGTCGGGTAGACAACCATACTCACTCACTCAGAGTAAAAGATCTGATTTTAATTAGATTGGTGTTTGCACATCTTGATCAGGACAAAGGTTGATAAGGGTTTGGTCAGTGCTTGCCCTTGCTGACTGGCAGGATGAAGTCTTTGAGGAAGGACTGTAGATCATCTGACATCATGTCCAGCTGCAGGAACCGGGTGACCATTCTCTCACATCTGAACACAATGGTACAATGAGAGATCAATACCCAACCACATGGTGTACACTGATATGAATGTACTACATACTGTATAACAATACTGTATTGATCATACAACATGAGATGCAGTGCACTCAGCAATATTACAGCTGTATGACAGACAACCCAGACAATGATATTATGAGCATCATCCAACGCAGTCATGGAATGATGACACAGTCTCACCACCCAATTCATTTAGTCACCTCTAACAACCAACATACTGAGGACCTATTCTAATCCAGAATCCTCATATGAGTGAGATAATGTTTTCAAGCTATGGTTATTGGTGTTATTCCTGATTAAAAAGACAGATATTGTCCCAGTCATCACCTCTTGAGCTGTGACGTGGTGTCCCCTGTGTCCAGCCTGTGCACAGGGCGACACTCCCGCAGCAGGGCCGATACCTGAAGGAGTGCGTGGAATACAAACACAGTATTATAAGTCACAATCTCAGCTTTGTCTGTAATGAAGTCTTATATAAATATCCATGCAGGAAGCTCTTATTTTATCCTTTTTTATCATCATATGCAAAGGACAAGGTATGATAAGGGTCCGTTTTGGTTCACAGAAAATGGAATACAACAAAATTTATATTAAACTGCCATGAAAGTTAATAGTCATATTCATGTGACCTACATCTAGCCTTTCTTATTTCTATCAGTAGCAAATTGTGGATGGATAGCAACAGAAATACAAAGACAAGTAGTAATTCATTATCAACGGACTCAAGTCAGCATGTCAAGTGAGTGTTTTCTGTGTATATTTGGTAGACACCAGGATTCTAGTATCTGACACAATGCTGGCCAACCTGTGTTCCCCTGTTAACCACGTCCTGTGGCAATCCTGCTTGTGCTGCAATGTGGCTGGCATAACTGGATGTAGTGTGTCCTTCAACAATCTGGTACAGGAACACCAGCTCCTCACCATTGTGTAGTGTGTCTAATGTCTGGAGGAACAAGTATATATATATAGGACATCACAAGACAGAGCTGGATGTAGTGTGTCCTTCAACAATCTGGTACAGGAACACCAGCTCCTCACCATTATGTAGTGTGTCTAATATCTGGAGGAACAAGTATATATATAGGACACAAGACAGAGATGGACAAGAACACCAGCTCTTCACCATAAGGACTGTCACATTTACTGATGAAATCTATAAATCAGATACAAAGTCTGGAATTAAATCTCTCATACATGGAAGGGTTGCGTCAGATGTATGTTTTACTTTTAAAATGTTTATGTTTGGTTACCCTTCTCAAACATTTGTCCATATTTTTCAACACATATCAAACAAATATTTAGTGTCTTTCTTCCATGACATTTAGTTCATGAAACCTTAAATCCAAAGCATACAGTCTGCCTTGGTTAGCCCCTGTGTACTGAATACTGCAGTCAAGGAGCTAGATAACTCACTAGGTACTGGAGCTGGTCTGACTTGGGCAGCATGTTCTGGTGGACGAGACTGTGGAAGTGAGTGGACATCAGGATGTGTGGACACAGGGCACTCTGTGCTAGCCAGTACTTCAGACACGAACACAACAGAGAGAGGCCATCTGTCTGGAAGCAAACATGGCATGGTACTGCATCCTGGTGAAAGTAAAAGGCATGCTACTCCTACAGAGACCAAAAGTAAGGATGAAAGTCAATCAGTCCTGGGCCCCGTTCCACAAAGTGATCTTAGCGCTAAGTCGATCGTAGCTCCCATTCTTTAACACTAACTTACAACAATCGTAGCTCTAAGATCGCTTTGTGGAACAGGGCCCTGATCCTTATGATAAATTACTGCCTTGTAGGGACACTCTTTTAATTCTAACATTGATAGACATCTGATAGTTTCAAGATATCAAATCAGTATTATTCCAATGCCATTGTGTTCTAACAATTCATTAAAATCTTACTGTTTCTGTGCCCTTTCCAAATTCATCAACAATCACCAGTGACCTCTCATTTGCACTTCTCAATGCCTCAGCCATCTGAAATATTGAGAAAAATATGTTTAAATAAGATAGAAAGGAAATAATAATCAGTGATGTGATTCCCAAAATTTATAATGCGCCAAATCCACACTCTGAAGCATGCTCAAAGAGCTACATTATTACCTCGGTCAATGGAGCAGTGTGCATTCAATTTTCATTCACAACTCCCTACGGAGTATACAAGCCAACTGCCTGTGAGGCTACGGAGTATACAACCCAACTGCCTGTGAGGCTACGGAGTATACAAGCCAACTGCCTGTGAGGCTACGGAGTATACAACCCAACTGCCTGTGAGGCTACGGAGTATACAAGCCAACTGCCTGTGAGGCTACGGAGTATACAACCCAACTGCCTGTGAGGCTACGGAGTATACAAGCCAACTGCCTGTGAGGCTACGGAGTATACAACCCAACTGCCTGTGAGGCTACGGAGTATACAAGCCAACTGCCTGTGAGGCTACGGAGTATACAACCCAACTGCCTGTGAGGCTACGGAGTATACAACCCAACTGCCTGTGAGGCTACGGAGTATACAACCCAACTGCCTGTGAGGCTACGGAGTATACAACCCAACTGCCTGTGAGGCTACGGAGTATACAACCCAACTGCCTGTGAGGCTACGGAGTATACAAGCCAACTGCCTGTGAGGCTACGGAGTATACAACCCAACTGCCTGTGAGGCTACGGAGTATACAACCCAACTGCATGTGAGGCTACGGAGTATACAACCCAACTGCCTGTGAGGCTACGGAGTATACAACCCAACTGCCTGTGAGGCTACGGAGTATACAACCCAACTGCCTGTGAGGCTACGGAGTATACAACCCAACTGCCTGTGAGGCTACGGAGTATACAACCCAACTGACTGTGAGGCTACGGAGTATACAACCCAACTGACTGTGAGGCACTAGAAGGTTAACAGCCACATTGCCATCTCATCCTACCAGGTACCCATTCACTGCTGGGTGAACAGAGGCATATCTGTAATAATGTCACTTGTCTAGGAGACACCACATGTAACATGTGCTTCAGTGTTGGGCAGGACCGAAGCCCTAGACACTCTCACGAGTCAAGCTGCCCAACACGGTCACCCATCCAAGGACTCTCCACAACCAATGTTGCATAAGTTCGCCTGATTTTCTAGCTGTACGCTCTACACAGGACCATGTGCCACCACGATCACTAGTACCTCTAACTCACACAACTTCATCCAAAAATATAAACATTCCCCAGTGGTCACTGACTGTTCATAATTTTCTTTCCCTACACCATTTCACACATTTTTGTTTTTTTACATCATGCACAAAGTTCTGTCTCATAAAAGATTTCCTCCACCAATTTTGTTCCAAATTTTCCACTGAACCCACTCGCCCATATTTTCTGATAATAGTGTTGGTTGTCCAAGGTATGCCAAATATTCTTGCCAACTCCAGTGATTTCCAATGGGTATTGATGCTTTTACAATATTTTCTCATTGCCCACTGGTCAATTTGGCTGATTTGCGACCAGTAACTCCAGTGGATGACTGCAATAACTAGTGCAAGCAGATGATATCAGCTGGCTGTCATGTGACTTGCACATTCCAAATATAGCACAAGTGATTCAGCTGGGATGTACTTGCGTTTCAAGCTTCACGGCGCAACAGCACATTTTGCTGAGCTTTTTGTAAAGTAATGAATACTTATGTCGACTAACTGTACAAGTGTGTGAAGCATACAGACAAGCATATCTGATTATGCATCTCAACACATAAAGCCACACTATTATATTGTTGTGTATATGTTGTACAACCTGTCATTTCTGAGCGCCATGGCATCTACACCCAAAAGGGTACTATCAAGGGTATATTTGTGTTTTGTGGCAGTTTTCATTTCATCGCAATTTTCAGGATCAAGGTTGCAAAGAAATGAAGCAAAAGCTTTTAGAAACTTGACACACGGATTGGCTCACCCCCCTACCATCATTTTATTGGGCTGTCAGGATTCTATGGAAGGGAACTCAGATCCTCAAGTAGAGGTATTGGAGTAAAAGATCAGATTTTAATGAGCTTGTCATTGTGGTCATATGATCCCAGTTTGCTTAAGCACAGGGCCCTGAGAGTCAACTTTTCCCAGAATTATAATGGGATACCATAAGAAGGTCTAAACACACACTGAAACATGGATGACACAGAACGAACATCTCTGACTGTGATACAATGTACATTTCAAGCCTGTGACACGACAGCTCATCTGTAGAAAGTGTACCTGGTTTATGTCCAGCATGAAGGTGGACAGTCCGAGTGACACACTCTCCAGTGACTTGACCCTGGTGAAGATCCGGTCAACCATCCCTATCACAGCACGCTCTGCCGGCACGAAGCTGCCAATCTGGGCCATGTACACTATCAGGGCTATCTGGAGCAAATCTTCTCCATCTTATATCTCACAACAACCCAGTAGTAAATCAAACAGTTTTGTGACTTTGGTCAAATTAAAGTGGTGAGTAATTGCAACAGTATTTTAACAGTGACAGGATTACCACCATCTTGCCACAATGTAAGATATTCCATTTATTCATTGTTTCCTAGTTTCACTAGATTGCCAGGGTTTTTGTTTGTAAGTTCTGAGAGATTAATTTTATTTTTATCAGAAATAATTCAGTGAACCTATTCTGAAGGGATACTAACAAGTCTCTTCAGACAATGTGGATCTAAAATAAAAAAACAAATGACAAAGTAATCATTTATCTGGATGTATGTATTTTATGATGTCCATGATCATCAGGAGACATAGATGGGATTACAATATTATATATATAATAAAGCAAAGAGGTCTTCAGAAAAGTAAAAAGTGAATCATGTACCTGTTTCAGGTAGACACTTTTTCCACAAGCATTCGGACCTGTGAGGAGCTTAATCTTGCCACTGTTCCCACCACTGTGAAGATCATTAGGCACAAAGGGAGTGCAGCAGAGCTCTTGAAGTGGATGTCTGCAAGAAGTAACATCAATAACAACTGGAAAATAAACATGTTCTTTCGGGGGTCTTGTAGAGTAAAGGAAATTGTGTATTCTTCTCAAAGGCTTGAAAGTTTTTGAAAGAGAACAGGACTGTATTTGACTTCAACATAGAATATATCTTGCAGTACCAACCTCCCAGCCTCTATGTCAATGACAGGGTCTTTGACCAGCTCAGGTTTCACATAGTTGAACTCTCTTGCACAGGTTGCCAAGGCCATCAAACTGGAAAAGTTGTTTTTTTATCTAAATGTTTATTAAAAATTTTGAGAGACTGTTTAAGACATGAATAACTGATGGCAAATATGATGTGTTTACCTCGACCAGGCCTTTAGGTTGATAGTTATTTGATACACGTCAAACATGTACGATACGTTCGTGAGCGTCGGTTCACACACCATAACAGTATGTTCGTCTGTGCATCAAACCAATCTAAAATCTCTTGCATTTGAGAAATTCTTCATATATTAACCAACACGTATGATATTTTGTTTCTTTTGGCAGTGAACATACATATAAATTCCAACAGTCATGTTGCACATCTATTCAACAGCATGCCCCATGATGTCATACACTTTTCACAATCATGCTCCATGACATCATACACTTTTCACAAGCATGCTACATAACGTCATACAATATTCAACAGCATTCTCCATGACAATGTTAGACACTGTTCAACTTCATGTTCCAGTGTAAGTGCTTTAATTGTTTATTGTGTTACCAGTCAAGTTCAGCAGCATGCTCCATGACGAGGTACAGGACATCCGTGTGTTCCAAGATCTTGTACTGCAGGCGATGCAGGATGCTGGTCTCATGGTCTGTAATACACAGGATTACACAGATGTAACACCATTGTCTGTACAGCATCATGTGACATTGTTACATGTTTCACAATTTGGTTGTAAAATAAACCAAGAATTGGCATAAAAATACATGTTCATATTTGAGAATATTGTTTGATCACCCATTCTATTTACAACTAACAACCTGTTAAGGTCTCCATTTTGTTAAATATACAATATATTTTCACCAAAGAGTAATGAATTTCAAATTTTTGGATTTGTTTAAAGTTGTCCATAAAAAGTATTTCAAATAGACCAATACTGAAAACTCCATCAACTTGTGAGTGAGTGAGTATGGTTTTACGCCGCTTTTAGCAATATTCCAGCAATATCACGGCGGGGGACACCAGAAATGGGCTTCACACATTGTACCCATGTCGGGAATCGAACCCGGGTCTTCGGCGTGACGAGCGAACGCTTTAACCACTAGGCTACCCGACCGCCCCCCATCAACTTGTGAGGCAAAGAAACTCATGATAAAAAATGTTAGCTACCTGTTATGTCACACATTGTGTCACCCAGCAGGCGATCCAACTCTGCAAATTGTCAAACATATGAAACTTATAATTCAATAAAATTTGAATTAAATATTCTTGAATATCAATCACCTTACAACATAAATAATTTGATGATTAATTTGTCTATCATCTCACAATTACATTATCATTATTACACACTGACATTAGTCTTTCCTTTTCTGTCAGTCATAATTTGACAAATCTATTCCGTCTGTTGTGTCATATGCTTTCACATGCAATTTGTTTATTTTTTCTGTCATTGACTTCTTGTCAATTTGGAATATGGTAGGATGATTACTTTTCATCATGCCAATTTTAGGAGTGAAAAACAAATTGATAACACAAAAATGAAAGCGAACTTTAATGATCTAATAAAAATGGCAGCCCTGTGTTCAGTAGCACAAGTATTGGAAGTATTGCTCTGTCAACTGAGCTCATGTTTGGCCTATCACATCACACACTAGATGCATCCTGGAAATATCTTACTATCTATGAGAAGTAGAAAATGCTTATAATAAACAGTGTATGGTTGTGATGCACATTTTAACTTGGAAAATGTGATACAGAACACAGGCCAGTTGATGACATGACAACTACACCAAATGTGGGTTGTGCTACAAAAAATACAATAAATAATACAATCATACAACAAATATTCAACTGAAAGGCCTCAAGATGATTATCCTCAGCTGCATACAAGCATATCTCCAAGCATAACTGTTTGGGAGGAGGAGACAAAAGAAACAGTGCCACAGCACTGTAGCTCACCTAGTTATGTTTTTATGTTTATTTCAACAGCTTAAAATGTTCAGAGGTAGTCAATCATAACAGTCATGATATCAGGTACTCATTGTTGATATTGAATGACAGTCATTGTCAAAGCTTCTCTTCACAAATAATTATTAAACGCAGGCCAAATGAGCTGAGATTGACAAATGCATCAGAACGAATTAAAAATGCTTTGTGGACATCATCATGATCATTGGTAGGAAATGTATACCAAGTTTCAGCTTCAATGGTTTTAGAGAAGATGTGTACCGAAAACAGATGCCAACGGAAGCACATCAAGATCAAACTCCCTTGAGTTTCCAGACCAGGTGAGCTAACAATTATGGCAAGATTATTCTTAACTTAAATGACAAAACACAACCAACAATGTCAACCAATTTATTCAAATTCAAATTGACAATTGAAATGAACAATAACATCACTTTACCCCTTGTACTTGCACTTCGGTAGTGAAGTATTTCATTGGAAAGAAACTGTTGGAGAACAACAGTGTGAAACAATGTTAACATTATAACAGCAGTGTGATGGTTAAACATCACTTGTAGTGAGTAAATATTGTTTAATTTGGCAGTAAGCAATATTTCAGCAATCTTTCTGCGACCTGTAAACAAATCTGGACCTGACAAACCAGTGATCAATGAGCAACGATCCGAGCCATTAGGTACGATGACAAGTAACCACAGAGCCCGGCTATCTGATCCCCACCAGTCAGCTCTGAGGACAAGCATGAGGTGCTGGCTGCCTTTTCCCACCCAGAATCCCAAAAGGGGTCACCAAGAACGACGTAACACATTGTACCAATAGCAGTAAATACAGCTGGACCGGGAGGTTCTGTTACCAGCAAACACTTCCCCACTGTGCCACTTCAGTTTGGCATTATCCTACTAAGTTCATTTGTACACATTCCTGACAGCCAACCACAATGTGATCAGTTCTGTTGTAGGTTGCATCCTACAAACCATTCCTCAACTTTAGTGCTGATTAGACATACAGTCTTGTATTAGGGATTTTGCATAATAATATTTCTACTTCCTTTATCAAACCATTCATATTCATCTCAGCAAATAGCCGACTCAATTCTGTTTATTATGTATCATAACATGATTTTCTCTTTTACTTACAATGAATTCTAGTCCCTCGATCTCATATTCCTCTGGTCTTTTCATGTTCCCAGTCTGAGGAATGGCCAGCAAATACCCGATCTGAAAATATATTTCAACTCACAAATATCAGACATGGACACATAATACCTAGAATATTCTGTACACTGAATACCAGCATCAAAAAGTTTAAGGTTATTTTGCACCAATGCTTTTGTTGCGAGAATGCTTTTGGACAAGTGACTGAGTGAACACTTGTGTCCAAAGTCTTCTCGATTATCCAGTGTATCACATCTTCCATCTGTCATTTCCCATTAATGCATTTTTTTAAGGCATCTCGTTTTTGACACTTGTCTGTGTCCAAACTTAATTTTAACAGCCAAAAACGTGACACAAATGTGGTTTTTGTTATGGGTTGCTAAAACGCAACTTAATCGACCATGGTACTAAGTCCAAAATGCTTTCCTTGCTTTAACGCCTTTCCAAGACTTGCTACAAGAAGAAGAATTTCTTTAGTTTCACAAAAAAAAAGGATGATTAATTCTCTCAAGAGCCTAAACAATGCATGTATCAAACCGGCAATATACTCGAACAATCATACCTAGTATTTCAGGTAAAACCAACACTCCAATTATTACATGCCATCTATTAGAAGAAATCAATGGAGGGTACCCTTAACATGAGGCAGACTGCTCGAGGCATGTACCAAGTGGTTCCCCTGTATTTGACTACACACTGGTGTTGTTACCTGTGGCAGGTATATGATGTTACACTCCACGATGTCTGGACTTAGTCTGTTCAGTTCCTCTCTAGCAACTTTAGTCATGAAGTCTGGCAGTCCATTGTATGTCCTCTTCTCTGAAGAAACATATCTCAGATGACACAATAACACGACACTATCCTGGACCTGTCTAAAAGCGTCAAATATCCATCCCTTCATTCCAAGGCGGATGTGAACGATGTTACACGCTATTGTCAGCGTAAACTCGGCCATATCACAGGGCTTGGACAGTGCCGTCTGGACCACACAAACCAGGGGTTCAGTATCAATGATAGAGTGCGCAACAGTCCACAGCTGAGATATGGACTTCTCTGGTAGTCTCTTATCCCAGGACAAAATATAGCGATTTTGATAGATACAAGTGGCATTAGGCAATTCTCAAAAATTTAACAATATTTTATAGTGAGTGAGTAAGGTTTACGCCGCTTTTAGCAATATTGCATCAATATTACGGCGGGGGACACCAGAAATGGGCTTCACACATTGTACCCATGTTGGGAATCGAACCCGGGTCTTCAGCGTGACAAGCGAATGCTTTAACCACTAGGCTACCTGACCGCCCCCGCAATATTTTATAGCATGGATTTAGATTGATCAATATATTTGTGAATGCTGTGGATTTTTTATAGTAAATATTTCGGGTTCCAATGTGACACTGCACCAAAAGCAAGTAAAGTACAAAGTATGTCTGATGTCTTACAACTAAGGTACGATAAGGAACTGAATATGTTTCAAATTTCAATATGCAAATTTCACCATGACAGCAATACAATTAAAAAAGTAAAACACTCACTTTCATCAAGTTGTGGGTCTACATTTGTCTTGACCACAAAATGATTTTGTACAGCAGATTGTTCGAAGTCAACCTATTATGGAAAAATTGTACAATGATTAAACTTGGTATAAGACCATTATTTCAATGAACATATATCATGCCCAAATACCAAGCATAATGTGGGAGGAAAGCCAATAGTCATGTAGGGCTAAGACGTTTATCACTATGGTAAAACTCATTAACATTGGTTACTATGGTGAAACTCATTAACATTGGTATGATGCTGATGACTATCACAATCAGGGCGAATCTAAGACTGGAACCTCCAAAAAGTGAGTGTATGCAACTAAGGGACATAACTCTGTTAGTGAACTGTAAAATTAATATGACTGAGCTAAACTCTTTAATCTAATAAACAGACTTTTAGCACCATTTTCATAAGATTTCACTATTAACCTTCAGAATGTATATATTAATTTCTGAATTAACTATACCAAAAGATATTTGACTAGAATCAGCTTCAATCTGTTCGTCAAAGTCACAGACTGACAGTCAACTCACAATCCTGCTGATGAGTGTTGCAATCTTGTGGAGAGCTTCACTGAAACATGTGCTGATCTGAAACAAACACCTCATTTCTCTTATCCAAACTGACTTACTTAGGCTGCACGGAATATTGATTCTAAATAATTCTGTACTTTGGTTTTGTAAAAGAAATAACATGCCATTCTAGGGTGTTGAACGATGTTGGTCATATCTGCAATCAAGGCTACTATCAAGGCTACTGTCATTACACTTCTATACAATCACTTCTGTGAACAATGATCCATGTCATCAGGATATGATGACAAGCCATCCACAGAGTGATTGATATTGTGAACCACTACATTGGGATACTGCCAATCTCATTCAAATAAGATCTCAGTTCTCGCTACAGCTAAATCTGAGGACATCCCATTACGGGTCACGTCAGACCAACCTTTCGCGAACTTTGACCAACTAACGGAATGACTGACAAGAAGTCAACATTAGTCAATCAGAAGGCAGCCTTCTCGTCCATTATGGCACTAGTTTTAAACTGGCGACTACGCTTCAAAACAAATTTTCACAAATTCTCGATTAAAAATTTGAAACCTGACCAAAAGAACATTCTGGATTGGCTAATAGATTCCCCAGACTGTATTGATTCAGTCATAAAGCCGTAACTGTTGTTCGGAATACCCTGTGGTAAATCTTTTGAGGTTGCATGATTAGAAAACACATTCTGACTGTCACTTTCATGATCTGGTAAGCTACGCTCTGGTTGGTCGGATGAAAGGTCATTCTGACGTGACCAAGCATGGGATGTCTTCCGATCTTTGTTTAGCGATAGCCAGAACTAAGATCTGATTTTAATGAGATTGGTCCTAAGCCATCTCCATACATGTGCAGCAAATCTATCTGCATATAATTTACAAAAAACTAAAGGAATAATTACACCTGCATTCCTACATATCACATCATTGACAGGCTTTTTTCAAAGATGGTCAATAACATTCTTCACTATTGTCTTACACTAGCCAACATGTATTCTAAAAAACCAAGTAAAGAATTAGGTAAAATAGCATAGTTCAGAACTTCAGAGACAAGATCTCTTTAGAAATTGTCAAGAACTCACCTTGTTAAACACTGCAATATGTTGAGGTTGTGCCCGACATAGGTCCCTGATGTAGATGGCATGGTAGGTAGTCTACAACATCAAGTCTTAATCATGAAACTTTCGCCCCGTATATCAACATTCACCATGTCAAAACTTTCTGACCTAGGTGTAGAAACCATGCTAGGAAAGAGTCCAGTAATTCATTATGAAGAACAAATTATTTCACTTGAAGAGAAAGGTTTGGAAATCTAAACAATTCAGAAAACATATTAAGATTACTTTGAATCTTAAGAGCTCCAATAAACTTTCATCCCTGACATTCTAGCAGAGGTAAGACACGACAGATCTAACACATGTTCAGTTGTCCACTCCACCTTATACAAGGCCTGCCAGTCCCCAACAGAAGCCTGGGCCTGGAGCATGCGCGTTATGATCCTCTGAAATCAGGAACATTGTCTTCCTAACTATTGTTGTATGTTCTCATTTCTATAAACATACCCAATGGTTTCAATATACAGTAAAACAATGTCAACTCCAAGCCAAGTCAAGTTTATCAGTGCTTGGAGACAAGATAGGTGTTTATACAGTAAAATACGTTTATAACGAACACGCTTATAACGAACTGACGGATATAGCGAACTTACTTTTTTGTCCCGACTATTTGCTGTAGTTATGTTGTATATATGCTTATAACGAACTACGGTTATAACGAACTAAAATTAGGGGTCCCTTTGAGTTCGTTATATCTGTAGTTTACTGTATTGGACTACCATGGGATAATGCAGTTCTAATATATAAAAAAGGAAGAGTGGGTATGTGTTTAATAAACTCCATTTTAAGCAATATGGCACATAGAGAATTATGTATGCAAGAAAGTAAAAGCTAATAATTACTCCAACTGGTATTACACCATACTATATCATGTCTGTACGTTTGTTTATTTTGTTTGTTGTTCAATGCTGCACTCAGCAATATTCCAGCTGTATGATGGTGGCCTGTAAAAATTGAGTCTGGACCAGACAATCCACTGATTGACATTGTGAACAATGATCCATGTCGTCAGGGTATGATGACACGCCATCAATGGAGTGATTGATATTGTGAACCACTACATTGGTTTACTAATTGGTCGCCTCTTACAACCGTCATAGGGGCGGTCGGGCAGCCTAGTGGTTAAAGCGTTCGCTCGTCACGCTGAAGACCCGGGTTCGATTCCCGACATGGGTACAATGTGTGAAGCCCATTTCTGGTGTCCCCCGCCATGATATTGCTGGAATATTGCTAAAAGCGGCGTAAAACCAAACTCACTCACTCACTCACTACAACCGTCATAGGTGACTGGACGTGGAATACCTACAGGGTTGTCTGTATGTCTCCATACTTTGTGACATCATTTGCCAAGAAATGAAAATGTTTCCAAATTTCAAAGGGTACTTGCGTTAAAGTCATGATGGCATTTGGCACACAATCTGGTGTACGTACTGGTACATTCTTGATATGCTTGAGGCAGTCAGAGAGGGTTGTAAGGACCTCTATGTTCCTGGCATGCATGAAGAACTCTATAGCAGCATGTCTCTGTTTCAGGAGGTCCACATTCCGCAGAGGCCGCAGGAACCACAACCTACAGGACAAACAACCTCAGTAATAATCAGCTCACATACACAAAACAAGACAGTATTTCTTGGGGGTGTCTAGATGTCTAGAGTAGGGCTGGGACCAGTTCAACTTTACTACCCAGGCCAGTTACACATACACACAGACGCAGACGCAGACGCAGACGCAGACGCAGACACAGACACACACACACACATACACACCAGGGTTAGAAACTAACAGTTTTTGGTCACTAGTCCTTATAATGATAACATAAAGCAAAACCCTTAAAAAGGGCAAATTTACCCAATGTAGGTCTCAAGAGGTGGGAACAAAATATGTGATTGGGAATTGTTTTACGCAGCCCTGGCAAAAACTATTTAGATACATGTATCAAACGATCAGATCAAGCATACACTGAAGTTGACTGTAGCTTTATCTTTACTCAAACATATCCAAGTCAAAAGGAATGTGTGCATCGTCAGAAAGAAATGCGAACATTAGCGACTTGTAGTGAAACCACTGAGCTATAGTGAGTTTTTGTCATTAACGCGTGACTAAGCATGGGTCCGGGTAGTCCTATGGGGTACCCGAGTTACCTGTTCCAGCCTTAGTCTGTTTTTTTGGTTGGTTGGTTTGTTGTTTGGTTGGTTTGTTGTTGGTTTTCCAGCTATATGACCGCGGTCTGTAAATAATTGAGCCTGGACCAGACAATCCAGTGATTGATATCATGAGCATCGATCCATGCAATTTGGGATCAATGACATACAGCGAGCCTGACCACCCGATCCTGTTAGTCGCCTTTTACGACAAGCATAGTCGCCTTTTACGGCAAGCATGGGTTGCTGAAGACCTATTCTACCCCGGATCTTCACAGGTCGCCCTAGTCTGGAGTATGCCAAAGGCTTTGTTTGAAACATTCATATCATCAGTTGGCCTCACTCACCTCAACATTTTGCTGCCAATTTGAGATCTACATCGGTTCAGGATGCCTGAATAAAAAGCAACATACACATCAATGGAATCAATTATTTGATTGTTCCTAAGCAGTAATATCATATCAAGACACTCAGTCTTTTGTAAATATAGCTTCTTCTAACCTGAGAATTAATTAACAAATGTAACAGTACAATCTTTCATAAGCCAGCTGGTGCTGTCCACGGATTAGGCTGATACAGACCAAACAGACTGAGTCCCTCCTTGGCTCCTGACCCAGACTTGTAGACAGAGGGGTGGGCCTCTTGGTGGAAGATCTGCAGCGCACTACATCAGCACACAGAAAACAGCATTTGACAACCAGTGATAAAACATTATGCTAAAAGACGTCTTTATCTGAGTGATTATTTTACAATGTTTGCATTGCTCTGCTGCCTACCACAGAGAAAATCTGTTCTAATTAAGATAACTCAAGAGTTATGTAAGATATCAGTGGGTGAATGTTGTTAAACGCCAGTCAGCAATATTCCAGCTGTATGAGATATTAAGAACATGACGACAGAGAAATCCTTAAAATGCCACACACAGGGCCGTGACAGCACTAGCTGCAGCCTATTTAATTTGTGGGCTAGTAGAAATTAATTTGAAACTGTTTTATGCTGGTTAATTATTTCTAGGGACAATTTAATATGATTGACATAAAGTCAGTTATCTTACCAAGCACATATATATATATATATATGTATATATATATATATATATGATTACCGTATTCAACGTAATAAGCGCCCAGGGAGCTCTCAAAATTAGGGGGCGCTTATTAGAATATTATTTTGAGTTGAAAGATTGTAAATTTCGTGGTTTATGCTAAGAGCCTGAAATGTTTACATACGACATATATTTTTCAAGAATATAATTGCCCATAATTAAGGGTGATATAACACACGAGTGCGTATTATACACGAATAAATAAGTCTTGTGTACATTGATCAATCGGAAGGGGTGCTGATTGGGATTGTTCACTAGCCAATATATTAGCAAATATCGCCGTGGGCGCTTATTAGAGCGGGGCGCTTATCACATCGAATACGGTAAGTGAAATATGTCTTGATGTATCTCCAATATGTCAGTGAGTAATGAACGAGTGAGTGAGTTGGGTTTAACGCCACTTTGAACAATATTCAATTTGTATAACGGCTAAATGTGAGAGGAAAGCATGGGTATGGTCCTGACTAGCCTAGAAACATAATGTGGGTGAACCGGGATTCGAACTAATGATCATAAGTTTTGGCTTGCCCAAGGGAAGCAACTCTGCACATGGGAATTGTGGTGCCTCAGATGACTGGGCCACCTGTGTGCAGCCCCCCCTACTCCTCCCCCTCATCATTTTAGTACAGAGTACACCTTCATAACTGAGCACCCATACTTGTATTTTCATATGTGCATTCTCCCCAGGGAGCTGAGAATGAAAAGTCGAGTGCACAATGATCCACAGGCTGAGTTAATAATGGTACTCGCTTTGAGCATACACAAGTATGGAGTCTATATAAGAAGCCTCATTATTATTTAGTATTACCTACCTGTATGTAATGTCATCAATTATCATGTGATCTTCCCTGCAATAAAGTTAGAAGACATTTCACACATTCATTTAGAAACATCTGACAAGTTTATTTTGTCTATTTTCAAAAACTAATCACATTGAAAACATAATTCTTACTTCTAAGTATCTGTTTTTTGATAACTCAATTCTTAGCAAATCACTGACAAAATACAGAGTTTCAAACTCATGAATTATTCTAAAAATGACAGCAATTCAAACATGATTTCCGCCAGAGTGGAACTGTAAATAGATCTAATTGATATGGTAGAGTATGGCACAGTTCCCCCACATGGTGATGAAGGAGCTGTTTGTCTCACAGTGTGAAGATGTGTATGCCCAGCACTGGCACCCTGGTGTCTGTGTCCTCCAGCTCCACGCCCACACGCGCCTTCTCCAGGAACTTGAGCAGCCCCCCGGCCGCCCTCACCTGCAACAACCACAGCAGCAGCACTGTCACTCTACATAGCAACATTTTTATTATAATAAAGTAAATATCATAAAACATTATCAAACGTGTGAGTCAGGAGGCATTTCATATATAGATTTCTTTAAACGACCTGATCAAGTCATGTTTGAACATCAACAGTCAATGGATGTGATTCACATGGAGCATGAATATGATTCACTTTGAGCTTGAATGGGATTCACATGGAGCTTGAATGTGATTCACATGGAGCATGAATATGATTCACATGAAGCATAAATATGATTCACATGGAGCATAAATGTGATTCACATGGAACATAAATGTGATTCACATGGAGCATGAATATGATTCACATGGAGCATGAATGTGATTCACATGGAGCATAAATGTGATTCACATGGAGCATGAATGTGATTCACATGGAGCTTGAATGTGATTCACATGGAACTTGAATGGGATTCACATGGAGCATGAATTGGATTCAGATGGAGCTTGAATGTGATTCAGATGGAGCATGAATGTGATTCAGATGGAGCATGAATGGAATTTACATGGAGCTTAAACGGGATTCACATGGAGCTTGAATGGGATTCATGAGGAGCATGAATGGGATTCACATGTAGCATGAATGGGATTCAGATGGAGCTTGAATGGGATTCACATGGAGCATGAATGTGATTCAGATGGAGCTTGAATGGGATTCACATGGAGCATGAATGGGATTCACATGGAGCTTGAATGGGATTCACATGGAGCTTGAATGGGATTCACATGGAGCATGAATGGGATTCACATGGAGCTTGAATGGGATTCACATGGAGCTTGAATGGGATTCACATGGAACTTGAATGGGATTCACATGGAGCATGAATGGGATTCAGATGTAGCTTGAATAGGATTCCCATGGAGCATGAATGTGATTCAGATGGAGCATGAATGGGATATACATGGAGCTTAAACAGGATTCACATGGAGCTTGAATGGGATTCACATGGAACTTGAATGGGATTCACATGGAGCTTGAATGGGATTCAGATGGAGCATGAATGGGATTCACATGGAGCTTGAATGGGATTCACATGGAGCTTGAATGTGATTCACATGGAACTTGAATGGGATTCACATGGAGCATGAATGGGATTCAGATGGAGCTTGAATGGGATTCACATGGAGCATGAATGGGATTCAGATGGAGCTTGAATGGGATTCACACGGAGCATGAATGGGATTCACATGGAGCTTGAATGGGATTCACATGGAGCTTGATTGGGATTCACATGGAGCATGAATGGGATTCACATGGAGCTTGAATGGGATTCACATGGAGCTTGAATGGGATTTACATGAAGCATAAATGGGATTCACATGGAGCATGAATGGGATTCACATGGAAAATGAATTGGATACACATGGAGAATAGAAGGGAACACACACAGTAATATTCTTCAACTATAGGTACTTGGGGACAATATAATGAATTGAGGTGGAGTGTTTGCTAGGGGACGTGAAACTAATAATTAATTTATCATGGCCTATGGTTGGTTGTATTGCACTGACATCTGACTCCTTATAAAGTTAGATGAGATTTTCTGTCACATACATGTTCAAGGCTGCCTGAAACAAGGAATGAACATCCCTTCTTATCATAGAATGAGTGAATGGGCATGCATGAATGTTGTATTATGCCCCTATCAGTAGCATAACATCTATATCATAGCAACCTGTAAGTATCCAGTCAAATCAGTTTGAGTGAGTGAGTGAGTGAGTATGGTTTTACGCCGCTTTTAGCAATATTCCAGCAATATCACGGCGGGGGACACCAGAAATGGGCTTCACACATTGTACCCATGTCGGGAATCGAACCCGGGTCTTCGGCGTGACGAGCGAACGCTTTAACCACTAGGCTACCCGACCGCCCCCAAATCAGTTTGAAAAACCCATGGTTGATAGCATGAACACTGAGCATCAGAGTGACTGAGCGAGTTTGTATAGTTTTATGCCTGTCTTATTCTAGGCAGGGGCATCAAACATTCAAAGGGGGCTTCATATGGTGTACCCATGTGGAGAATGATATTTTTGGACACCCACCATGCAGACATTCTCAAACGGTACAAGTGATGACATGTAGAGAGTGCGCTCCATATCAGTGTAGTGGTCGGGTATTGTGGGCAGATTCATGGACAGGATTCTCCGTTTGCAGATTGCAACAGCTGAAACATAATACACACATGTGACAAACTGTTGCAACACAGCCCATAATTTGAATATCTTAACGTTTGTAATAGTAAAATTTCAAACATTTTTGGGTGATTGTTTTATCAGCAAATGAGGCCAGCCTTTTTATATTCTTGATTTACAGACATTTTTGTGAAAAATTCTGTTCAGTAGGTGGGAAAGAACAGAAATTAAAAAAAGCAAGATCAGTTTCATTTCCAGGCCACTCACTTATTGTCATCCAAAATGTCCTGAACACATTTTTCAAAGTTGGTATTACATTGTATAATGTTGACAAAATCATGAAAATATTCTACTGTCATTTGTCTTTCAAAATCACTGTGCTATGCTTCCATATGAGAACAATGTTTGTCAAGCCAGTTTCATCAACCATGCAGTTTCACATATTGTTTGCACAGTTTTGATGAATGCATAAAACAGCTTTGGATGAAATGAAACACTGATAATGATTTATTTGTCCAATCTATCAAATAATCAAAAGAAAAATATGTATTTAACCTATTACCCCGTAATACCTCATGTGTGTTTTCATTTCAACACAACTGTTCCCTCTCAATCAATTACTGTTGCTTGTTTTACATCATGTAATGCCCAATGAGCACAAGCCCTGTGTCTCCCAACTACCATAAAGGGGAGGTAACTCTGGAGGTCTTGCATACATGTGGGTAGCAGATACAATTCATAATCAATAAATGCTCAATAAGGCTGATGTGATGTTATTTTGAGCATGTAGTTTATGCTTATTATTCACCATCATATACATGTCCACAAATTAACACACAAAGACATGATACCCTAGCACAGGTATAATAATTTGGAAAGTCAGGGTAAATATTATTGGTGATCAACAAGGGAAGTAACTCTTTCAGCCTTACAAATGGTATGTAACCGGACAGTGGCTGTCATCAATAGCAGTTGACTATATTGAAGATAAATTCAGAAACTGTCAGTTAATTACATGGAGTACATCTATATCCATATATATATGAACTGTCAACACTACATTTAACCATGCTTAACAGAGCTGTGTCAATTGTTATATAAGAAGGATGGGATAAGTGCATCTTCAGAATGTCAATTCTGAACAGGTCAGGTCAGTTCCATGCAGAAAAAGCTCCTTTTTATTTTGTAGGACATTAGCTTTCTATACTAATAATGTTGCAACAATAGACATTTTTTCTCATGTGTCAAATATTATTTTCACAAATACAACTCTGTTTGTTCTTTTGCTTGCATAGTTATTTTGAAGTTAGTGACTTTGTGCAGTCATATAAAAACAGTGACTGAAAATGTGTGTTTTGCATACATGTAATTAATGCTATTTGATATTCAACAATTTGTTCTAAACTAGATAGTTTCAAAATGGCATCCAATGACTCAGGGTAGTTTCCATAAACTTGACCACTAACTGTTGTTGCCATTCATTAATAAGTTTGTGCTGAGTTTAATATTTTTCAAAACGACTGGGGACTGTTTTGGTTAGTTATTTTGTGGTGTGTCACTTGATGCAGTTCTTAACAAATGTACCCACTTAGTGTTACAAGGTAATGTACTCCGGGCTGGAGAGCATGTGTACTGAATTAGTACTTGAACCTGAACCTAATAATTTTCTGACAAGTTTTACCAAGTATTGTGGACTTACAATCTGTGAACCATTTAGTTGTATTACGCTTTAATCCGCAATATTGCAGCATCTTCACTGTATCTTTCAAGGAACTTGGTTAGAGGCTAACTCTTCTCCCATAGCTCAAATATGGATGCTAAAGAGTTAAGATTTCCACAAGACATGTAGGGGTTGGGAAAATGTAGTTTACAGATGTACTGGCAGTGTTCGAATTTGAATTAAGGAGTGGGGCTTGATGTTTGCTGCAATAGTATTTGAATCTATGTTCCCTCACAACACTAGGGTTATGACCAGGACCCCTTGATTTTCAGGATTAATTTTGAACACTGTACTTGTGACAAGTGACTAAATTGTGCACGGTACCGAGTTACTAACAACTTGTTTGCACCAGAATTGTAACTTACAAAAGTCGATATTGGGCAGAAACTGCAACACTTCTGTCTCATCCTCCCCATTCCCACCAACTCGCTGGGACGACACTAGGGAAGAATGATGAGTATGTAAATAAAAGTGCAATCTGTTATATACAGGGATGAGAATGGATATTTTCCTTCTCAGCTAAAATGTCTATTCAATGGAGTGTGGTCCATAATTCGGGGGTGTTTATAGGGGGTTCATCAAAATTTAACAAATTTGTGTTCACTAAAATTTGTGGAAATTTGCAGATCCGTGGAAGATTCTCATCCCGGTATATTCTCAAAGGTAAACGTAACTGTGATAATGTTTTTATTCATCACACTGTGAATTGTTTAGAAACATATAATCATAAACAGTGATAGAAACTAACAGTTTTAGTCCACTCGTCCTCATAATGATAGCATATAGCAAAACCCTTAAAAAGGGAACATTTCCACTAGTCCTTATGATACCTTCACTATTGGGCAATATGGCAAAGACTACAGGACTAGTGCCAATTTCTAACGCTGAAAAGTTCTTTATTCAATTAGTTATTTAAAGACTAAAAGTGTTCTAGTGTTTCACTGTGCAGACCCAAAAAGGCTTTCTAAGGACAATTAAATTCTTTTAAACAATCTTTGAATAAACAATTTCTGCAACTTTGTTGTTCTTTACACAAGTTAAGGTAAAGTGTCTGACCGTTTTCATTATTTATTAGAGACTTACAGCTGTTAAAAGGAAGCACAGTAACATTGTTACCCTAATTTGTATTGAAAAGGTATCAACATGCTGGAGCTACCCAAGAGTGGTTTGTTGTGTACACAGAGGACTGATCAACCAATAATCCAATAACATCTTCGACGTAATAAGCGCCCAGGGTGCTCTCAAAATTAGAAAAATTGGGGGCTCTTATTAGCATATTATTTCAGTGGAAAAAAAACAGAGTTAAAAGATAAATTTCGTGGTTTATGCTGACAGCCTGAAATGTTTATGTACGACAGTTATATTTTTCCAGAATTTAACTGCCAATAATTAAGTGAGGTGAGGTGAAATTGGGTTTAACGTCGCGTCCAAGATTATTGCACTTATATAGCGACGTGCATGCACGTGTATGTGTGTGTGTGGCTGCTTGTACTAGTCCGGACTGATGCCGATTTATAGTGCTAGCTCACTGAGATACCATGCCGCAGTTTAACATGAATACCCCACTCAGACACAGTATACTGACTCCGAGCCGACCAGTCCTTGTTTTAGCCCCTTAATGCCGAGCGCCAGACAGGGTAACAACAAGTACAATCTTTTAACGTCTTTTTGTATGACGCGGCCCGGGATCGAACCCTGGACCTTCCGCTCTCCGGGCGGACGCTCTACCACAAGACCACGGAGGCGGTCCAATAATTAAGTGTGCATATAACACAGGAGTGTGTATTATACGCGAATAAATAAGTCTTGGGTACATTGATCAATCGGAAGGGGTGCTAATTAGGATTGTTCATTGGCCAATATATTAGCAAATATCACTGTGGGCGCTTATTAGAGCGGGACGCTTATTATGTCGAATACGGTATATCGGTAGTCCATATCATCACCGTTGACAGATTTGACATGGATTGCAACTTCTTTATTCTCTCAATGCAACATTCTGGTACAGATGCAAACCAGTACCTTTAACTTTACCATAACAAAGGTACTAGCATCTCTAAGGAAATGTCACAATGTAAGAGTAAAGGATATGAACTACATAATTCAACTCTGTCTTCATTACAACTTCTAAATGACACTCAGGATACTATATTTACATTATTATTTATTTTCACTTAACTATACAAAATTTTATGACATCAAATCACTGTTACTTTGGCTTTTGAGTATATATGTCCACAATGTTTTCATAATAATAATGGAAAATCTGTCATTAAAATTAATTGAAAAGTTTCCTTATGTCACAATCAGAGAAAAACATTGGCATTGTTCCAAGCTCTATTTTTCCCTCCGTAACTGCTCACAATGATGACTGGATGCCCTCCTTTATCATGTGAATATCACAAGATTGTTTTCAGGGGATTTTCACATGTCATGAATGTCACACACTGACGGGACAATAACTGGCGAACGGCTTTAAGTGTGTAAAGAAAGTATATGTGTGCTTTACATTACTATGAAATCTGGTTAATCGTTACCCTGTTACCTTTCAGGCAATCTTACAGAAATTGTTTACAGAGCTCTAGATAAGTTTTTGGTTATTTAGATATTTTACCCAGGGGTTTGATTTTGATTGCGTATCCACAATTTCAAGAGTATAGTCAAATTATTTTTACCCTCCTGTTTCTTGACATTTGGGTATTTTAACTTAAAACCTGTTTCCTAAAAATCCCTGTAAATCATTTAAAACTATATGAATAGTAGTATAACTGTCTGCATCTGCTTGCAGCTCCCTCTCAGGAAAGCCATGTTTGTTTGCAAAACCTAGCATTGTAAAAAAGGCGTTTTTTTATCACCAATCAGTAACTATTTAAGGTACAACATGTACATTGACTTTTCAATTGGCATCTATCAGTATGTTTGTCGCAGAAACGTTTCCTAATGTAACTGTTGGTATGTGAATTTGGCGATCAGCTGATGCACATGTCAATAATTTTATCTAACAGTTGTAATATACGCAATCGTTTTATCTAATAGTATAATATACGCATTAATTCTATTTCGATAGGGTCACGATATGGCTGAAATATTGCCTATGTGACGTTAAATTTTAACTCACTCACTATTTCGATAGGGTATATATAGTATTTGTTGCGTATTTGATATGCTTGGATTTGATTTGTCTGCGTATTTCAATTAATTAATACATATTTTACCGAATAGGCAGCTTATCTCAAGCTCTGGTTTACATACAGTATCATTACTCTGATTTGTTCAACAGAGTTCTGTTCATTCAGACAATTTTTGCGGTAATGGTTCACTCAGATTTAAGGGGTTTCCTTAAATCCAATTCATGAATGTCTTACTTGGGCATAGAAATAGGAACATATTTGGAATAAGGAACTCCTTACACAAACATTACTGTTAACAGTTAAGAACTAAGCATAATTAGCACACTGAAGTATAAAAATTACTAAAAAATAGTTCAAAGGAACCTTGATGCAAGAGAGTTGTTGCATAAACATATCTCAGCTTAACCATGTAAACGAAACAAGAAAGTCAATTAACTGCCTGGGACTGTTTATGGAATGTCAAGAATGGATGCGATCTAAAATACAAATCACAGACCCTTTAACTAAGCTGTTAATACTGACGTGATTGCTTGAGAAACTTCACCAAGCGCTCATCCTGCTTTGAACTTGCAACAACTTTCTCCGGTCTCAGCTGATGCAGAGCTACGTGAAGAGGAACAGAACTATTATAACATCAGAAACATCTCTTAACTATGTGACTATTCATCAGATGTAACTTGATGATGTCCCAACACTGATGTCTCCTTGCATTTGTCACCAGTTTTAAGGAAATACAATGAGTAATGAAAGGTTTCATAACACTTCCTGATTGATTCATTAGCATGAATAATTTCATCATCTAATAAGTTTACAATCCTATTCTAGAGAGACTTTTGTATCACCATCACACGGAACCACATAGAACATACATATATCTTGTTTCTGTGGAGGGATCTTAAAGACATTCTACAATGTGTTTGGACATGCACGATTCTGAGTGGTCAGTCTGAGGTTTCAAATCACAATTACATGACTCCAATGAGAACAGATAATATTTCTAGAAACGTATTTATTTATCAGTTGACATCAATGGATTCTCAGTTGACATCAACAGATTCTCAGTTGCAGGTCCTAGAATATTCACTTTGGGCAGAAAACACCATGAAAATGAACAGTGTGTATGAGTGCATGCAGTCATGAATGTGAGCTTTTAGGGCCACCAGTGAGCTTGAACTTTGAACTATCATCTCACTTATTATAATGTTTTTTCTGTAAAGCGAAGCAGTGTCAAAATACTGTTGTACAATTTAGAACAAAGTCTTGGAAGGTCCACCATATTTTCATTTGGCTATTCACCTTCTATTCTGTTTGCCTGCAGTGTGGTTGTGCTACAAAGTCATTTGATCATTTCATCCTGCAGATTTGACAGCACTTCATGCAGTAGTAGAAACTAACATTTTTAGTCCACTAGTCCTTACAATGATAACATGTAGCAAAACCATTAAAAATGGCAAATTTCTACGAGTCCTTATGATACCTTAACTATTGGACAGTTTGGCAAGGACTACAGGACTAGTGCCAATTTTTAACGCTGCTTCATGCAACATTTGAAACCTTCAACTGCAATACCATATTTTGTGCTAACAAATCAACAGGTAACAATATTAGAAACAGAGAATGTTGATCTCCTTATATGAGCTTAGAATAGCTCAGAAGTAACCAGTGCTGGTCATGAGAGGCAACTTTGAACTCGGAGACCCGGTTGATAGCGTGTCAACTCCGACAATGTGGATCGTCGCTCATCATATCAATCACTGGACTTGATAATCCAGATTCCATTATTTACCGGCCGCAGTCGAACAGCCAGAATATTGCTAAGTCTGGGAAACAAACAAACAAACAAACAAAACTTATTGTCACACCAGAGGAGAAAGGACATAAAAGCACTTAGTCACCTCTTTTTAGTATCGAAAAGTTGTCTGTTTCTTCTGTGTCCAGCATCAGATGAATCAGCATGGTGTCAATATCGTAATATGCAAGACTGATTCGTCCTCCATGCCACACTAAACTCAGGTACACCTGCAACAGAATCATGTCTCAGTAACATAGACAATAGTGGTGTAACAATACCATGATACAGTATTGTATCCCGATACTAGGCCCATGACACAATACTTGGATTTAGACCCCTGTATCGCGTTACATACGATACATTACTAGTTATATTGGTGAAAAAACGTGAATAAGAACAAAAAAACTGTTCAACAACAATAGCAAAGCATTCACAGTGCCTTCTAACCTATATGTTTTGGCTATACAATTTCCCATCTTTCAAATTCTGAAATTAATAATTAAATAATTCACCTGCAAAAAAAAAAAGAATATCAACTTATGATAAAAAGGTACTGTATCGGGATATGAATTGTATCACACCCATAGTATCGGGATACGTATCATATTGCGGCCATACCATATCGGTACATCTCTAATAGATAACACTTGTTACGGCAGTCCTGTAGAGTTTTATTCCATAGCTAGCTAGTTAAACCAGTGTTAGAAATTAGGGAGTGGGGTGGGTGGGTGGCATCAGGTGCATGAGGCATGCTCCTATCACATTTTTTTCCAGGGACCCCAAAAGTATCTTAAGTTTTAACTCAATAACCAGTACATCAGTACATGAATCTGGGACCCCTTAATTTTTTGTATTTTAACATGAGGGTAATGACTAGGCCCCTTGACTTTCATGCATAATTTCGAACAAAGACATGCTAAAACATTCCTGCAACATTCATGGAAAGACACTAACAATTTCAGTCCACTAGTCCTTACAATGATAACATAGAGCAAAACCATTCAAAATGGCAAATTTCTACGAGTCGTCATGATACCTTAACTATTGAGCAGTTTGGAAAGGACTACAGGACTAGTGCCAATTTCTAATGCTGAACATTTATTACAGAATTCAGCCTGTTGTGTATAAATATCTAGCCTCCAATTATGATCATGATGGAATGTCAAATTTAACAGCTACAGAAGCATCACTAGGGTCTGGAGCCCTCTGCACTAACAGAGTTTGCACCTAAACCTCCCTGACATGCAGCAAACACACAGATTCACTTACCCCAAACTAACCTTCACAACACAAAGCCAGGTTGTTTACAACATCTATCTTCGTGAAACTACTCTTATTACACGACACAACAGCAGAGAGACAAAACCTCACCTAAAACCAATTCCAGCCAACAGGTAACTTGGTATAGAGACGGCTACCACACCTGCACTACAGGTACCTTGCAACCAGCAGCTGACATAACATCATACAATCAGGGATGATTTCTGAGGGTGTCAGGAAGATCACTAGACATTCAATGATCCTAAGTAAACAGTACATCTAAAGCAACAAAGGTTCTGTAGTTCACCTGAATTGTTCTGGAATATTTTCATCATTAGTAATTTTTGTGAGTGCTAAATTGAATTTGGAACCGAACATGCAGAGAGAGGTTTCAAATGGATAATTTAGCATAGTTAAAATTACAAGTACCCTGGCTCTAAACTGAAAACACAGTGTGTTTATCTCCATGCTACTACAACAAAATTACAAGTGAAGTCTTCGAGGTTAGCGAAGATAGGGAGTGAAGCGTCACTGGTTCAGTCCATTGTTGTCGATTTCAATTCAGTAAAACACATAACAGCTTTAAAACAAATAAAGGTGCTTTATGTGCTTGAATATTATAATTTTACATTAATATGGTTTACTCGTATATATGGCAGGCATAGGAAAGATTAAGCCGGCTTAATTATAGTGAGCAAGCTTTCTGAGTGAGGTTTACTTTTACTACACCACGTGTCACTATTATGATCATGATGATGTCATATCGCTCATTGTGAGAAGAAAACTTGACGTCACAGTTGGCTATAGAAAAGCACAAAACGTATTGCTACACATACTTTTCAATTTGTAATTAAAGCAAATCTGCATTCTTTAACCTATAAATGTATTTATCATACCTCCATATCAGCTGTGGTGGTCCAGCGCAAGCTAACCTCGAACAGCTGTTTTCTATCAATTTTGAAATTGTTTGTATTTTTTTACAATGTCATATTAAAACATGTCGGTAAGATAAATTCGTTGTAGAAGGATCACAAGGGGTACTTTGGATTTTATGCATCCTGTGATAGCTTTAATACCAAGCTCGCCTCTAGCTTGGAGGCGAGCGTGGTATAAAAACTAACGCAGGACGCATAAAATCAAAAGTACCCCGAGTGATCCCACTACAACTTATAGTATAATTGCTTGTATTTCCTATATTTACAAATTACAACAAATATATTTCCCAGTTCAAGCAGCTATAGATTTTAGCTTGATATTATTTTTTCCCTTTAAAAGTTTGTCATACAAATTAGATTTTACTCTCTGTCACTACTTATGTTCATATGTGCACTACTCATATCAGTTACAATTTGCCAATGCATTGTGATGAATACTGACTTCAGGAAATGATTTTGTCTTTCATATCCTGAATGATCTCAGACGTCAGCTTATGTGTGTGACTAAGGGTGGAAGTTCTGTAATACTTCCACAATTTCACAATGTTAAATGGGCTGTCTGCCCTACTGACAATAAATAAGGTTGTGTTACACATTAACCACTTGAAATAGCCAAGTATTTCAGATTTCACTCAAACGGGAAATGATTTGACAATCAAGGTACCGTATTACAAATGATTTCATGTTAATTGTATTTCTCAAGCCATACCATATATGGCCTTCTAAGCTGATTGAACAATAGACAATGTCAGGACTGTTAATAACAAAAACAAACAATTATATTTAATAGAGGAATGAACAGCAGACATGACAGGTGATGTAAACATTAATAGATCAAAACTGGTGTCTAACTTACTCTAAGAAGACTTAACTTGTAATTGACGATAGGGAAAGAGTAGGAGTGAGTGAGTGTTTGTTGTTTAACGCCTCACTCAGCAATATTCCAGCTATATGAGGGCGGTCTGTAAATAATCGAGTCTGGACCAGACAATCCAGTGATTTACATCATACGCAATTGAGATACAATGACATGCATCAACCAAGTCAGCGAGCTTGACCAACCGATCCTGTTAGTCGACTCTTACGACAAGCATAGTCACCTTTTACGGCAATCATGGGTTGCTGAAGACCTATTCTACCCTGGATCTAGTGTGAGTGAATGGTGATATATTCCTACAATACATTTGGAATTCTAGATAATCCAGGAACCCATCATAAAAATTTAGAACCTGTTCTTTTTAAATACAAAACATTTTTTTTACCATGATACAAATTTAATGTCATAAGGACAGGCTTTTGTATATTTTGATTTGCCAACTTATTTTTATTGCATGTATTTAATGTTGTGGTCGGTAGGTGGAAAAGAATATTGAAACAACATTCCAGATTATTTAATGAAACGGTGGAAAAAAACTAAGTTTGCCTCACGTTAATAATTGTTCAGTTGTTAAGACAAGACAATACAGGGCTAGTTTGGATGTCTTTAAAATTAGATAAACTGCCTTAGACTAATGCTAATTGATATTCTTTCGACTAGAAGAGAAATTAGCACAAGTTCAAGGCAGTTTGTCTAATCATAAAGTAAACATATATATATCGTAGAATCTGCGCGATAGTATCTAATTCAGATCGGGCACAATATAGACTCGATGAACTGAGGGAGTCACTATTAGAAAGAAACTACCGTAGAAAAATGGTGGAAGACGCAATAAACAAGGCTAAATCACAAAACCGTTGTGATCTTTTAAAACCTAAAGATAAACCTAGTGAGAGTGTTCTCCCTTTTGTTACAACCTTTTGTTTCAGTTATCCCCAAAACCCGGAAATATTTGGAAGTGTTCGGGAAACACTGTATCCCTTAAATAAGTGTAAAGAACTAAAACAAAGAATATCACAAAATTAACTTATTAAAAGTAAAAGACAGTGCCCAAATCTGAAACAGATTCTTACTAGGGCTTCTTTCTCAAATGGAAAACAAGAATGTAAAACAGTACAAAAGTGTAACAGACCAAATTGTGGTACTTGCCCTCATGTTTTACAATGTTGTTCTTTTACATTCAAAGATGGAAAAACTTTCTATGTCCTAAAATATGAATTGTGCTTCAAAAAACTTGATTTATGTCATACAATGTGCTGGATGCAAGGCTGAATACATTGGACAGACAGGGGACACCCTTAGAGCGAGAGTGAGGGTCCACCGACAACAAATAAGGGACCCCTCTTGTCGGTGTATCCCACTCAGTCAACACAATGATCAGTGTGCCGGGAATAAAACACCAAATTTTGTGATATTCCTGTTTTACAAATGTGACAATGATGCATTGAGAAAGATAAAAGAAAGTTATTTTATTAATACTTTCAAACCAAAATTAAATGGCCTGAAATAATTGAATTATTTTATACAATTACAATGTATTTGCATTTTACTGCCACTACAATACTTATTTCTGTATGTGTCATACGCCTGCCCTATCGTCTTACGGCTGTCTTATTGTGACGTCACAAAGTTAGATTGCACTATGACGTCATACTATGTTAGAGTGCACTGTGACGTCTAAACAGCGTAACGGTACAACTGTACTCTTGAAAATCACATGCGTGAAACCGGTTGAGTTAATTATACAGCTCATCTTTGGACTTTTGTATTTTATCTATATTTTATCATATATATATATGTAGGGCACAACACCAAAAGCCATCCATGAAGACATGGATACAACACTAGGGAAGGATCCCCCTTCCCATGGCATCAAAATGAGGTAGACAGCAGATAAAGGGTGGCCGGGATCTCATTGAAGACGACCCGCATCCTAGATGGCCTGTGACATCAGCAGCACCAGAAATGATCAACAGAATCAACGATGTGGAATGATTGAGCATCACATTCAGTTATCAAAAAAACCTTTGGCAATGAAGTAAGTATCATCTCATTGGGTTTCAAAGCTTCTGACATCTGATTAAAAATGCACCAGACACGGGACGAGGAAATCAACAGCGAGATATGCAACTGTGAAAAATAACTGCTACTGACA